CTTTTTCCATCCACGTTGAGCTAGAAGTTTAAAGGCTATAGAAGGCAAGCATCATTCCAACAAGTAACTCTCCAGCCTAAAGAAAGAAGGCTAACTTAATGACCAAAGAATAACCATGCATAATTTCCCTAAGTGCAACAAATACCAGTTGGGCAATTATAATGGTTTTTAGTGGCCATTGTACAATTGAATAAATAATTTGAGATCAGAAGTTTCAATGAAAGTCTAAATTAATTGTGAATGTGCAGTAGTGAATTTGAGTACTTAATATGCTCAACTTGACATGTGTATGTGCCCACATGTGTGCTGATTATGATGAAAACAGAAAAAGGCATCATTTGATCCGGGGGTCAGTAAACTTTTTCTGTAAAAGCCAAACAGTAGATATTTCAGGCTCTGTGGGCCATAGCATTTCTGTGGCATCTATTTGACTTTGCAGTTGTGGAACAAATGCAGCCATAGACAATACATAAATGAATAAGTATGGCTGTGTTCCAATAAAACTTTATTTATGGACACTGAAATTTAAATTTCTTATCACTCTTTTTTTTTTTCCTGCTGTTTTGTTTTTTTGAATCATTTAAAAATAAAGAAACATTCTTGGTTCACAGGATGTATCATAACAGTCCGAAAGCCAGATCTGGTCCATAGGTATTAGTTTGCCAACTCTTTGTTTAACCTATTCATAATTTTTATTTCTGCAATATGATTAGCTTTCAATGTTCAAGATCACTTGATGGTATATGAGTGGTAAATTTCAGGACTGCTGTTTCAACAACAACAACAACAAAAAAAAACAGTATCAATTTTTCTTATTGTGTCAAGTGTTAAATCAGTGTTTTCAAAATCACTCCTTAAATATAAATTTCTAGGGGCCCAAGGTGTAGCTCAGTGGTACAGCACTTGTCTAGCATGTGCCAGGCCCTGGATTCAATCCCCCAAATAGCAAAAGGAAAATAAACACTGCTAATTCATCAATAACGTATATTCTCTCACAGCTAAGCTTCTATGGTAAACCCCAAGTGGAATAATAAAGAATAAATTAATAACATTGAACAGTGTGTGTGTGTGTGTAAGAGAGACAACAAACACCTGGATGGTCCATAAGCAGAAAACAAGAACTTGCAGGTTATTCATTTAAAGTACAAGTGATTTTCACAGAAGCTGACATTCTTTGGTAAACCTCAGAGCAAGAAGGTGAAATACACTTATCAGAGAGAGAAAGACAGATAGACAGAAAGACAGACATACTGGCTTGAAATGGTACAAAGCTTGAACTAGATGCCTTCTTTCCCAAACCAAGAGTGACTAGACTTTTTCAGCTGCACACTAACAACCCCTGGGAAACACAAGTTAAACATTCCTAAAACAGGAATCTAGTTCTGTTATGAAACTCCATCATTTCACCTCCTGACAGCCACAAAAATCAGCAGAATTCAGGAAAGGCTCAGAAGAGGAGCAAGTAGCATTTTTAATAAAATTCAAATCCAGAATGTTTGTTTTTTTTTTTTTTTTCATTGCTAGCCTCCAGAGCTCACTATTATCAGCAATATTAATGTAATTACTCAGGTAAAAATAAAGGATAAATAAAGGATATGGGAAACTCTGACCTCTTGTATTTCTTCTTTAACTTCTCCATTTCCCTGGGAAATATTTAATTCTGAATAATACAAAAATTTAAAAAATAGAAGTTTCATAGTATCTAAATAAAAAAAACAAAGGAATCCATAAGTACATACTTTTATTCTTCCTCAAATATGCTTTTAACAAAATTAACACTTTATTAGTCACTTCTATATACCACAATATAACCCATGCAGCTATCAGAAAATATAAAATAAAGCACCTCCAAAATGTACCTAGTTCTGTAAGAAATATCTTTATATTAATAGTTGGGACCCAGTTATTATCTCAGAGTGCTTAACAAAAAGAAGTCAGGAATTCAATTCAGGAACACATTGCTCAGTTAAATAATACCTGTATGAATTTGGGGTTTCAAATCACCTCTCTTAAGCAAAAGGGGCATAATCATATGTTTTTCTACTGAACTACATTCTTTTATAAACATTTGAAAGAGTGCATCTGCTTTACGAATGAAATAGTCAATACAAAGTGCAGTAACAATAAAAATATATGCCTAGTTTTATACTATTACTGGTTTATAAAGCAATCATCTGTAATGCTCTCATCTACAAAGATGGAAAATGATATATAACTGTTACCAGGGAAACGGTGAAGTTACACTGCATGTAAACTATAAAGCAGTTTAATAACCAGAAAATTAGAAGAACAAGTAAAAAACACCTTCAGATAGAACCATGACACACTGTGCCACCCACATAGGATGTGATCAAGGGTCACAACTAACACAGATGGTGTAAAGGGCTGCAACCACTTGCCAGCTATTCTGATGCTTGGCAATAATTTTTTAAGTGATTATCAAAAGATGGCACTGGGTACTGGAGAGGTAATTTGAATTCTGACTTTTCACATGATTAAAGGGCCACAGATTCTGTGAACATGGTTGAATGTACTTTGGAAAGCCAAACGTGTAGTTTACTAATTCCTGTTTGGATTAATATTCTCTTGGAATGCTCTGTAATTACCACTGTCTTAACTCACAGATAGGACACTTGGCAAATATCAGTTATAGGAAATGCTTTTAGAATCAACCTTTAGAAACTCAAGTTCATAGGAACCAAAGACAAGGCTAACATCCAGGAAAACTATGTATGTTTGCCTCTAAACCAAGAGAATTTTAAGCACTCAAGTAACCATGTAGATCAAAGCTAAATCCTTTAGGAAGATTATCCATTCTGAAATCAGGAAAATCCTGCCATGTAAGCACTTTTATACTTCACCTTTGAGAAAACAACTTGATTTCTGTGAGTATTTTAAACACACATGCTCAAGACTTTCTTCCCTCAAGGGCAGAAACCAGCAGCTGCAAACGTTTTTCTGCAGGCCAATTGCCCTCCAAAGGTGTCTCTGTTTCAGCCTGGGGACCATCGTTAAGCTCACAATGAAGAAAAGGAAGAATTCCTGTTGATGGTAGACTTTTTAACTGGTACAGTGGCTCAGAACATATGCACCTTCTTTCTCTAAACACTCCATTGGATCACAAGAAGGACAGAAAGTGAAATTCATTCTCATTTACTAAAATTTAAACACTCTTTTAAAATAAGATACTAATTCTACCCACCTACACAGCCTGGCTTGGGTTTTACAAATATTCAGGTTTGTGAATATCATCAAAGTATGCTAGAATTGATTAACATTAATATAAAACATCTTTCCCCTGACACACAGCACTGACCTCTCCAAAGCTCCTGTTAAAGGACTACACCGGAGGTCTAGATGTTTTGTTAATCTTGTTGGTTTTAGCACTCCAGGCCACTAACACTTAAACTATACTCTTAGTGGAACTTCTCTCTTCCTTTAGTGATATTTCTGTCCATCACACAGAGGGCACCACACAATCTCTAAACTTGCCCACGGCTATTTGCTTACTATGGTTCATCATTTGACAGCTGTTTATAATCCAGCCATAGGCAGAAGCACACAAGAAGTTAATAGAACAGTGGTGTGAAGCCATGGCCCTCTACGATATCAATGTAAAACCAAACAATTTGCTACACTACAATCATCCACTGCTTAACACATCAATCTTCTGATCTGCAGAGACCTCTCGTGGGCGGCTCTAAGGAGCACATATTTACTTACCCATCATCAGTCTACCCAACGGAAGTTACATCGGCCCCCTTTCCCTGGAGAAATCTGTTTAACATGAAGATTGACCCATGTGAATACAGAGGGCAGGTGAAAATGATTAGGAAGAACAAAGACCTGTGGATGTTGGAGAGAGGCCCATCTGAATGGCAATATCCAAACTGAAAGGTTGAGATGGCCCAGATGGAATTTAGCAAAGCAAAGTCAACATACTCTTCTGCCTCAGGCTTTTGGAGGCTGTTCATCCCTGCCTGATGCAATCAAGACATCTCACTCTGATACTAAAGAGTGAAAGAAAACCTAGAATTAGTCTCTCCGTATTGCAAGCAAGTCTTTCAACTGCAGCCTGTAAAAACACAAGTGTCTACCTCCTTGTTCCTACCTCCCCAGAGGTCCAGGGGCAGAGGGCCAGCCCTTGCAGAGACTTGGACAGAGAAGATTAGGAATGGTTTTCTAAGACCTCTCATATCTGGCTCTTCCCAGTTAATGCTACCAGCATAAGACCTTACTTCATTTGTTCAATGCAGACTTTGGAAGCACATTAGGGCAGGAGCAGAAGGACTAGGTAACACCTAGAGGCCCCAAAGTGGAAATATTCCTTTTCTGTCAGCACTGCTGGAGAAATCTGCCCCACTAGATTGTTTTTCTTCAGTTTCAACAACATGGCTACTTGGAGGCAAATTTCTAAATCTTTCAAGGCTTAAGAATATATAGTTTCTCAAAGAAAGGCTGAAAGTCTTTCTCTTCTATCTCCATGGCTTTGCCATCTGGGTCACTGTTGGGAACACCTGGGTCGACCTACAAACTGACTTTTCCAGGGTGTGGAGGTCTAATTCAGGGGTGGGAGGGAGGAAGGGGGGGGGGGGGCACTTTTAGTCACTGCTGTTTGGAAGGCACTCACACACACTTCAAGTTCTCCTGTCTTTCCCTAGCAGTAGCAATTACAACCATCTTCTCTTGGCCCTGAATTATACATGTGACCCCAAGCACCACTGGGGCTTTCCCTAAGGGAAGACAAACTGCCGTGACCATTGGGGGCTGGGGGGGAGCATGTGTGTCTCTCTGTGTGGTCCACAGCCGGACACACAAACCCCACCAGTCAGTTAGAAACAAGTTGAACACGGCAGCCCCTGGCCACCTGGTTTCAGCTTTATCTTAAACCCTGCTGCTCTGTCCAGCTTTTCTTCCCCCAAGCCTCCCGAAAAATAAAGCACCAAGTTGCCCTAGGCGGCAGCGGCCCTAGGTGCAAAGAAAACCGGCGCGGCCCCTACCTCGAGAGCTTTGCAATCTTCACAAAGCTGAAGACATCCATGCAGGCAGCGGGGGATCCCAGAGCCGGGCGACTTTGTTGCCCCTTCTCACGCCAGCAACGGCAGCCTCAGCAGCCCCATCGCGGGGACCTCAGCGCGCCTGGGGCTCTGGTGGCAGCGGCGGCGGTGGCGGCGGCGGCCGGGCAGAGCCTGCACCTGGAGGCGGCGGCTGCTACCCCCCTCCGGCCGTGAGCTGCGTGTGCATCCCCGAGCAGGACCATTGATGGGCGCTGGCGCTGGGAAAACTCAATGGAGAGGGAGCCAGGCTGGGCGCGAGCGGCGGGGAGGGGGCGGGGAGAGCGGCCCGGGTCTTGCGCCCCGCCCCGTGCGCTCCGCCCGGGGACGACCCGATGCCCTGCGAAGGCAAGGCCAGGCGAGGGGCACTGCTCCTGCTCCCTGGCCCTTGGGACCCTGTGCCCCACACGCCGAAGAGCACAGACTGAGCCTGGAGGCGGCGGGCAAGCTTGGCACACGCGCACGCACCCCTCACGGCACTGCAGCTGCCTCCCAGCCTCCTTCCCCTAGCCGAGTCCCTTCTCCTCTCCCCACCCCCATCCGCCTGGGGGGGGAGGGGGCACTCTCCTGTCACCCGCTGCTTGTGCCTCCAGATCTGAAAGATCTAGTCGAACGGTCAATGGCACCAGGGAGGACCCTGAACGCTACCCCGTCTCCCCAAACCCAAGGAGAGCCCTGCAACCGCAGGCTGCCCAAAGCCTTGGTTTGTTCAGTAAACAAAACTAGCGTTCGGGAAGGAGCAGGGTTGACTGAGACTGGATAATTTGTCAAGGGGAAGGCAAGGGAGATGCACAGCGCAGCGGGCTCAATTTGGAGAGCGCAGAGTTTCCACTGCTTCCCCACCGACTGCTGGGGCAAGATGTGACAACTGGGTTGGCCGGGAAGGTGTGTTCTTTGGACAGCGGCACCACAGCGTCAACAGCAGGAGGCATGGGGGGCGGGTGGGCGCGGTAAACACAACACAGCTGCTCTTTACTAGAGGCGGATTGCGCTGAGGGTCCCAGGCGCTGTGGTGCAGAGGCTAATTTGATTGGGGCTCGGAAGCTAAAGGCAGAGAAGGGATAAGAATGGGGGGTCTGGCCGGCAGAGCGAGTTGCTTTTTTTTTTTTTTTTTTTTAATTGAGCGGTGGGTGAAGACTGGAAAGGGGGGAAAAAAAAAAAAACCTTGCCCGAGAAACAAAATCACAGAAGCACAAACACTCACCTTAGGCAGAGTAAACTCCAAGTTGCAGCCATTTAGAACTCCTCGCCTTCTCTTTTACATAATTGTCTTGGACAATCACGCCCGTTCATTAACTCATTCAATCTCCCGGGAGGCTCCGGCTTCCTGGGGCCCCTTTCTCTTCTTGGAGCCTCAAGGCCTGTTCTCCAAAAGCCTTTAAAATTTCTCCCCAGACTCTCTGAAGGTCAGCTGGCCACACAAAGTGCTCCCACCCAGCAGCGTTTACTTGGTGGCAGGGCCACCGCAAAGAAAAGATACCACCCGCGAAATGTTGGAGGATCTAGCCAGTGCGTCTAGCTCTCTGAGGGGATTAAGGAAAAGGAAATAGATTTAAACTTCCCAGACTTCTGCTCCTATACTGGTCTGCTGTTATATTTAAAGTCTTCAATATTCAAGCCTAGTACTTCCACGTTTTTTAAGGCATTTCTTTTATAATTAAACATGAAATCAGTAGCAATCTGCACAATCTAAATTATTTCAAACTCGGGCATAAAATCACATTTTTGAATAAACAGAATCAATTTTCCTTTAGTTTCTTGCACGCAGACCAGTTTAATGAACGCAGTTACTTTTCATGGATCAGAGGAAGGCAAGAGAGACCTTGGCTTTTGAACCCCCTATTGTTTGTGTAAAATAATTATGATTTGGGTCTTCACTGTGCTTTATAATTTTAAAAGCACTTTTGCATTTGAGTCTCATAGCAACCCTGTCACATAAGTAAGGCAATGTGTTTAAAAAAGAGAAATCTTTTCTTTTTATGCCATAATCCATTCTCAATGTACCAAAGAGATGTTTTTTAAAACTTGGGTCAGATAAGGTTACTTGTCTGATCCAAACTCTGCAAAAGCTCTCCATTCTTCTTTGAGATGAAGTTGCACTCCTACAACAACCAACAAGGCTCCATCTCTGACTTCTGCCTCTCACTCTTCTCCTGCCCCCTCCCCACACTGGGCTCCAGCAACACAGACCTCCTTTCTCTTCTTCAAACTCTGTACATATCATTCAACCTAAGACTCTTTGCTATGGTTGTCCCCTCAACCTGGGATACTCTTCCCTCAGACATTTGCATGGACAGTTCTTTACCCTATGAAGTCTTTGCATAAATATCATTTCTAAAATATCAAGTTTGGAAAAACCTATTTAAAAGAGCAAGGTCCTCACACCCTGGACTGCAAGTCCCTATTAACTGGTTATTTTGGGATTTTGCTTTCTTGTTTCCATAGTACTTATCACCCACCAGCACACTAGATCATGTATTTTTTTTTTTTTTTAAGTCCAAGCAGGGCTTGAAATTGAAACTTTATTTGGTGGTCCAAAATCCATTATGGCTTCTTATCTGAATCTTCCACTGGAATGAAAGCTCTATAAGGAAAGGGATCTTTGTTTTTGTTGTTGTTATTCCTTTTCTTTTTTTTTTTTTTTTTTTTTTTTTGCTTTGTTGTTTTTACTGATGGATCCCAAATGCCTAGAACAGTTACCTGGATGTAGAAGGCCCTTAATAAATATTTGTTGAGTGAATCATTCAATTGACAGCCAAATAAAAGCTGGTCAAGCATTCCCTGTGAGTTCTGAAGCCTCTAAGTCCTCATGGATGTTTGTCCCTTCCCACCGCTCTCTTTTTCCTGCATCCTTTGTCCTCTTTTGGGTTGTTAATGATGGAAGTAAGGTCCTCTCATTTTTTTCAGTTGTTTATTTTTTTTCTCTTCACCCTTACTACCCCTTCTCAATAGAGAGGTCACCAACACCTTCCTTTATCTCTTAGGCAACAACATCTGGTATCACAAGACCAGCTCTTGATTGGGAGAAAAGGACTACAGCGATGGCTTTGGAGAATGTATTTTGGAAAAGTGCTTCTTTTTGATAGCATGATAATTTAGATGCCTTTTTTTAAAAAAGAATACCCTATTAATCAAGAATTATTAGGGGATAAGGGTATATAGCTCAGTGCTAAAGCACATGATTAGCATGCATAAAATGCTAAGTTCAATCCCTAAGCACCAAAAAAATTTATAAAAGGAATTATTCTAGGTACCAATTGCTTCTTATTCAAAACAGTAAAAGTGACAGGAAATAGGCATTGTATTTACTTATAGACAGCCTCCCTTCAAGACATCTGGACTACCTGGAACAGCTTGCTACTCAGCTTCTTCCTGTGCCAATTTCTACACTACAATTATGAATGGTGCAGATGCTGATGCTTCACAACAAAATAGGCACCAGGGGAATGACTGGCTTCTCCAGGTCTTTATGCTCCTCTGATACACTAATTATCTAGTGTGCTTTTTAATGGATTGATAGCATTTTCTAAAACAAAGAGATTCTCCTCCTCCTTCTTTGTTTCTCATTAATGTAAAAATGGAAGAATCTGCTCCCCTGAAACATGCTAACACCGCCAGTTTATACCTTTGAGCCATCCTGGCAGTCAGGTAGATATTTGAGTACCTGTTCTCTCAGCCCTGTCCTCTCTGTCTGTGCCAGGTGTGTGTGGCAGAGCATGGGAGAGGCTTCTTTTTCTAGCAGGAAATGAATCAGCCTAAAATAAACAAAAGCCAAGGAGTGGGATCTTGGGAATCTCTGTGATTTTCTGAAAGCTCCAGCCTGGATAATTTCTAAGGCCCCTTCTAGATCTTACAGGGACTTGCCCATCACAAACCATATTTCCTAGTCTTGAAAATCTATTTAATTTGCTTTTCATAGATTTAAGTGACATTTGGTCATTTCTGAAAAGCAGGCAAATTTTCAAACATTTTTGAATGTGCTCATGAATAAGTGACTCAGGGTCATCAAATCTGGAGAAAGACTGCAACTTCTCTAAGATCCAGTTTTCCCACCTGTAAAATAGAAATAGTAATTCATACCTACTTTACCTAGACTGAACACTTGGAATTGGATTACATTTGAATTAGGCACATGGAGGCTAAATCTAGGCTTTTCACAACTATCTTAACCATTGACATTACTGTTAGGAGAAATTTCAGCCTTTAAGATGACCACTTTGAGCCAAACATGGTGGCACATACCTGTAATCACAGCTATACAGGATGCTACAACAGGAGGATGACAAATTTGAGGCCAGCCTTGGCAATTTATCAACACTCTGTCTCAAAATAAATTTTAAAAGGGGACTGAAAGTGTAGTTCAGTGGTGGAGCACTTGCCTAGCATGCACAAGGCACTGGGTTCATTTCTCAGGAGAGGGGGTACAGACATCACTACTTTGAAAGTTAAAACATCTGCTTGGATTTATCAAAGGTGAGCCCTATTGCTTAAGAATCAAACTGTTTCCTAATTGGTCAACAAAGCCCTAAGATGAGGTATCTTTTATGTTCTGGGGATTTGTCAGAGGAAAGAGGAAGGATTTCTACATCACTGTTAAGGCCTTATCTAGATCTGGTGTTGGGAATCTGCTATTGGGCTGGATGTTCCATACAGGAGATCCAATGAGGTTCTTTTGCTGCAAATTGTAATAGAGAGAGCCCCATGCATTTCTTCACCATCTGGCCTCAGTCCTGACAACAATAGCAACTCAAAGTAAGGTGGCCATTCATTCAATAAATATTTACAGCAGTTCACCTATATACCATGGACTGTTTGTTCTAAGCACTGCAAGATAGACCAGGCAACAGGCAAGATTCTGCTCACATAGAACCTATATTGTAATAGGGAAGGTAGATAAGAAACAACAAAACAAAACCTTGTTTAAATTAAAAAATAGCAGATAAAGTTGTGCAGAGAATTTGTCACTTTGATTAAAAGTGAGTGACCATGTAGCCACTAAAGATCAAGTGGTTGAGAAAGACTACACTAAGGAGGCAACATTTAATGTGTGATAGGGTGGACAGGAAGGAGGCTGTCACTCAACATTCATGTGCAACAGCAAAGACAGACAAGGATAGAGTCTCTGCTATTGTCTGTTTGACAAATCGGAAGGCAGCCAGTTTAAATGGGTATTGTGTTCATAGAAATGAGACTGGAGGACTTTGTAGTGGTGAGATTGGATGGGGCTCAGCAGGTCAAGTTAAACTGTTCAACTGTTACCATGGAATGAGAAGACTTAGGAGGTATTTTAGCACCAATGTGGTAATGTCCAATTTATATCTTGAATGACCACTCTTGAGGGAAATGAGCATGGGGCACAGAAATGACTTTGGAGCCTATTATAATAGTAATGGTAGTGGCTCAGAGAGGATCATGACAAGGAAGTGGCAAACAGTGGTGAGGTTTGGGGTATGTGCTGAACAAGGTTTGTTGATGAATTGGTTGTAGGAGGCAG